ATGGAATATTATGCTACCTTGAAGAATAACAAGGAAGCAGCAAGCCACCGCATAACATGGATGAACCTTGAGGACATTATGCTGAGTGAAATTAGTCAATCACAAAAAAGAGAAATACTGCATAGGACCACTACTGTAAAAGACTGAGAAAAAGAAACCATACTAAAGGGGGTTATGGAGAAGTCTTTGTTGATTGCTGGGATGTTGGTGATGGGTAAGGGGAAGGAGGGGAAGGTAGAGCACAGGGCAGGGATTAGACACAGGAAAGTTTAGGTGCTGGGGAGGGGGGCAATATACAAGGAGGGAGAGGGAAATGGAAGAACAGGGCAGATGGGAGAATAATTGGGCATATATGAATGGGCTAAGTGGGACAGAGATAAAGAATGATATATGCACAACCTTGGAACTGCAGGGCTCTGGGATACAGAGACTGAGTCATGGTTGGAATGGGGAAAGGGGGGAATAATGTTAAGATGCTTGGCTGTTTTTTGAATCTTGGTTCTCCTTGCATTATAATATAGAGTAGACACTGGAGGGGGAGAGAAAGGAATAGTCAGAAACATCACCATAGAAGACTCGTAAGTCCGTCTTCTGCCTATAACTGATTGGAATACCTAAAATGGGGCTACAGCATACCCAGTGAAGGAGGCTTCCTGCGGAGCCTCTGTAATACATAAGACTATAGGTAGAAACCTGAACTACATCCAGATCTCCAGAGATGAGAAATTTCCACTAGAAAGGATGAGCAGACCAGCCTGAGCAGCTAGAAGAACAGAAGATACTTCTTTAAAGAAAGACCTACAGGAAAAATACAAAACAATAGAGGCAGATGGACTGTTACTACAAGAACAAACAAATCGCTTCCCTAGGAAACATCAAGGCAAGTGGTCAGGTCCCCTCAATGCAAACCCCCTTCCAAGACTAAGACTCAATGGAAATACATGCTCTGATTGGTGAACACACGCATCACCGATAGGGGGAAGCGGGGTAAAAGCAGCAATGAAGCGGCAAGCTAAGCCTTACAATGGGCTTCTGTCGACCCAGTTGGGGACCTGGTTGGCAAGCAGTGTGAGGAGACCTGGGGACTCCTAGGCCCAGCATCAGTGGCGTGGCCACGGAGGACTCGAGTGGAGAGTGGAGCTACCGACTGGATGGGAAGAGAGGGCATGTGCACAAGAACATGCACACTTGCAGAGGGTAACCACGTGACCTGGCCCAGATGACTAGATGATCAGAGCTCAACCAGGAGAAGAAAGAAGAGGAAAAAAAGAGTGATCTGATACAAATTGATGAACTTGACCTACACCTATGGATGCAGTGACTCAAAAGAGGGAAAAATCCTTAGAGCAAGAAACATTCCCACCCCCTCCACACACACGAGTAGACAGAGATGGACAACTTGGACATTGCATACCCAAACTGGGGGGGCAGGGGACTACAAAGGCAAGAAGTGACTGGCTTACAAGCTTTCAAGAGGGAACCTAGAATCAGACTTTAGCCACCTAGTAGACATAGCAAACTGTCCCTCATCTGTTTATTCAGTAATGCTTGTTAGTAATTTCATACATGAGCCCTGGATATCCACAGACAAATGTAAAAACCTTCCCTAAAAGCCGAGACTGTAAATTCCAAAAAGGCAA